GGGGGGAAAAAAGAGGGGGTTTGGGAGGGAAAATGGGGTTTGGGAAAAAAAAATGGGGTTAAAAATGGGGTTAAAAACAGGGTTTGGGAAAAAAATGGGGGTTTGGCGGGGGAAATGGGGTTTGCGGGAAAAAAAAAGGGTTTGAGGAAGGAGAATGGGTTCAGGACAAAAAAACGGGGTTTGGGGCATCAAAAAATGTGAGTTGGGGGAAAAAAATGGGGTTTGGGGGAAAAAATGGGGTTTGGAGGGGCAGAATGGGTTTGGGGCAAAAAAAAATGGATTTTGGGAGCAAAGGCAGCGCCCGGCGGGATTTTGGGGACACAGGTTTGGGGTGGCCGAATCGCTGGGAACCCCCGGGGTTTGGGATCCAGGGGAGCCAAGGGTGACACCGGGATGGTGACAGGGGACACGGGTGACAGGTGACAATGCAGGGGTCACTCACAGTGTCTGCATGTTGGCYTTGGTCAGCTCAAAGGCCCAGTCCAGGGTGGACGGATCCAGACMGGACGCGCGGCGACACTCGATGGACACGTTCAGGCTGTGGGACAGACAGGGGACAGCGGGGTGACATCAGGGTGACACTGGGGATGGCCTTGGGGACACCGGGAACTGCCTTAGGGACAGCAGGGTGACACGGGGAAAGGGCTGGGGACACCAGGAACAGCCTTAGGGACAGCGGGGTGACACTGGGAAAGGGCTGGGGACACCGAGGGGACACTGGGAATGGCCTTGGGGACAGCAGGGTGACACTGGGAAAGGGCTGGGGACACTGGGGGGACACCAGGGTGACACTGGGAAAGGGCTGGGGACACCGGGGGGACACTGGGAAAGGGCTGGGGACACAGGGGGGACACCGGGAACTGCCTTGGGGACACAGAGGTGGCCTCGGGGACACCTGGGTGACACCGGGGTGACACCGGGAAAGGGCTGGGGACACCGGGAATGGCCTTGGGGACACCAGGGTGGCACCGGGAAGGGGCTGGGGACAGTGGGGTGACACTGGGAAAGGCCTGGGGACACTGGGAACGGCCTTGGGGACACCAGGGTGGCACCGGGAAGGGGCTGGGGGACACAGGGGTGACACCAGGAAGGGCTGGGGGACACCGAGATGGCCTTGGGGACACCGGTGTGACACCAGGAACCATTTTGGGGACACCGGGGTGACACAGAGATGCCCTTGGGGACACGGGGGTGACACCGGGGTGACACCAGGAACCATTCCGGGGACACGGGGGTGACACGGGGATGACACTGGGGTGACACCAGGAACCATTTTGGGGACACCAGAGCAACACCAAGATGCCCTCGGGGACACTGGGGTGACACCGGGAATGCCCTCAGGGACACCGGGAATGGCCTTGGGGACACAGAGATGCCCTCAGGGACACCGGGGTGACACAGAGAAGGGGGTGGGGACAGCGGGGTGACACCGAGATGGCCTCAGGGATACCGAGATGGCCTCGGGGACACGGGGAATGTGTCAGTGACACCAGGAACGGCCCTGGGGACACCAAGATGGCCTCGGGGACACCAGGAATGGCCTCGGGGACACCRGGAGCACCAGGAACCATTTCAGGGACACTGGGAATGGCCTCGAGGACACCGAGAGTGTGTCAGAGACACCATGAATGACCTCGGGGACACTGGGAACAGCCTTGGGGACACCAGGAATATCCTTGGGAACACTGAGAATACCCTTGGTGACACCGGGAATGCCCTTGGGAACACCGAGAGTGCCCCGGTGACACTGGGAGCGGCCTCAGGGACACCGGGGTGACACCGAGATGGCCTTGGTGACACCGGGGTGACACTGGGGACCATTTTGGGGACACCAGGGTGACACCGGGAAAGGGCTGGGGACACCGGGAGCGGCCTCGGGGACACAGGGGTGACACCAAGATGCCCTTGGGGACACCGAGGTGACACCAGGAGCCATTTTGGGGACACTCACCCATTACGGTCGTACTTCTTGAACGCCGGGAAGGCCTCGAGGGGGTCCTGGAGCTGCAAAGAGACCAAAGAGCAGCCGAGGGCCAGCGGGGCCGTGGCGGGGCCGGCGCCCATCCCGGATTGGGGCCAATTCCGTGGATTTTGGTGGCCACACTCACTTTGTTGGCGGCCTCCACCTTGGCGCACACGGCGGCCATGGCCGCGCGCTCCTCCAGCCGCCGCTGCTTCTTCTCCTTGGCTTTGCTGGATTTCCTCTGCGGGAGAAACGGGGAAATGCTGGGAATTCGCGGTGAAAATTGGGAATTCGCAGCAAAATCCCAAAATTCATACACAAATCCTGGGAATTCGCAGGAAATCTTGGGAATTCACAGTGAAAATCGGGAATTCGCAGCAAAATCTCAAAATTTGCACCCAAATCGTGGGAATTCGCAGTGAAATCCTAAAATTCGCAACCAAAATCCTGGGAATTCGCAGTGAAAATTGGGAATTCGCACCAAAATCCTGGGAATTCGCAGTGAAAATCGGGAATTCGCAGCAAAATCTGAGAATTTGCACCCAAACCCTGGGAATTCGCAGTGAAAATCAGGAATTCATACCCAAATCTGGGAATTCGCAGTGAAATCGGGAATTCGCAGCAAAATCTGAGAATTCGCAGTGAAAATTGGGAATTCGCAACAAAATCCCAAAATTCATACCCAAATCCTGGGAATTCGCAGTGAAAATTGGGAACTTGCAGCAAAATCCGAAAATTTGCACCCAAATCCTGGGAATTCGCAGCAAAATCCTAAAATTCGCAATCAAATCCTGGGAATTTGCAGCAAATCTCAGGAATTCACAGCAAATCTGAGAATGAGCCTCCAAATTCTGGAATTTGCAGTGAAATCCTGGGAATTCACAGCAAATCTCGGGAATTTGCACCCAAATCCCAGAAATTTGCACCAAATCCTGAGAATTAGCACCAAATCCTGAGAATGCGCACCCAAATCCCGGGAATTTGCAGCAAATCTCAGGAATTTGCACCAAATCCTGGGAATTCGCAGCAAAATCCCAAAATTTGTACCAAAATCCTAGAATTCACACCCAAAACCCTGAGAATGGGCACCAAAATCCCTGAAAAGCCCCAAATCCCTCTCAAACCCCCTCAGAAATGCTCCAGTCCTGCTCAGCTCTCTCCACACACACCCCAGACCCCCCAAATCCCCTAAAAAARGCCCCAAATTCACTCCAAAGTTCCCACATTTCCTCATGGGAACTTCAGCATCCCAAGAAAGATTTCAAAACCTTCACAGAAGCCCAAACAGCCTCAGAGAGCCCCAAATCTGCACAAAATATCCTCGATTTACTCACAGGAGCATCCAGAACTTCGTAAAACTACAAGAATCCTTCTAAGAGTTCCAGATGACCTCAGACAACCCCAAAACCTCACGAAAAGTCACAAATCTCCACATAGGAGCGCCCAATCCCCTCACAGAACCCCAAATCCTCAAGAAGGGTCCCAAATCCTCTCATGGTTGCTCTGTATAACCCTAAAGAGCCGCCCCATCCACTCGGACGACCCCAAATACCCTCGCAGCGTCCCAAATCCCCTCGCAGCGTCCCAAACTCCCTCGCAGAACTCCCGCATCCCCTCGCGGCGACCCCGCACCCCTCAGACGGCCCCAAATCCGTTCAGCGGCGCCTCGCAGGCCCCACCCCCGCTCTTTCCCCTCAGACCGAGCCCTCACCCCACACCCCCCGAGCGCGGCGCGGCCCCGCTCACCCCCATAATGGCGGCGGCGGCGAATCCTCACGGCGCGGGGGGCGCGGGGGGTCTGAGGGGGAGCGCGCGGGGGGCGCGCTATTTATAGGGGGGGGGGAACCGCGCGGGAGGGGGGCGGAGCGCGGAGCGCGCGAGCCGGCGGCCGGCGGCCAATGCGCAGGCGCGGAGGGGGAATGGGCGGGGCCAGAGGGGCAGCGGCGCGGGCGACGCCCCCGCGCATGCGCGGAAAAGGGAGAGGGAGGGGCGGGGCTTGGGGCGCGTGGCGGCCGCGCGGGGCGCGAAGGCGGCTCGGCGCTGATTGGCTGAGAGCGGAGAGGGCGGGAAGGCGGAGGCCACGCCCACTGCGCTGAGGGGAGGGGGGCCGCCGTGAGGGGAGAGGGGATCCACAGAGCCCGGTAAAGTATTAAACTGTACAGAAACCACAGAAACCACAGAAACTGGTACAGCCCCACGGATCGTGAGGGGAACGGGGATCCCA